TTAGGCCTATGTACTTTTTTTAGAAACAAGTTCTAAGATTGTAATTATACTTAAAACGAGGGGAAATCTATGCTTTTATTAAAAATTGACATAAATAGTGAATTCTATCATTAGTCACTGTAATCATTAAGATGTAGTAAGATCGATTTCGGTGGTCCTGACCGTCGCTGCTACCTTGACATGGTGGTCAGGTTTGCCTATCGTGATGACTCAATCGAGATATATTGGCTGGAACATATGTTCCTGTAGGTTCTACCATGCCAGCAGGTCGATTGGAGAGCAGTGGGGCTGAAAGCAGCTACTCAAATTCTGAGGGAGAAGTCTTACTGCTGACTGGAGTTTGACAGCAGTAAGGTGTTTCCCTCGGACAACCAGCATCTGCAGCAATGGGGCTTTCTCACAAGGAAGTAAGGGTTAGAAAAGGTCGACCCTAAAAATGTCACACCTCCCCTTACCTCACGGATTTCCGTCTCCGGCGGTAAGGGCTTTTAAAAAGAACGGAGCTAACACTTTAAGTACTACCCATTAAAAGGCGGTGCGTGACCGGCCTCAAGTAGTTGTCCCTTGGACTCTGTGGTCACGCTCTTTTTTCTCTAAGACCAACGCTATTCTACCCTCCTTTTCAGGGTCTTCAAGAAACATTCTTCCAGGGTGTGGACAACCGGAAAGCGATATACGCCCTCATACCTGTACCAGCACGCGAGACTGACTGACTGATTTCAGTGGAGTTTTGTTGTCTGAGTCAGACGTGAAGAAATTTGGATACTTCACTTCTCTACCTGAAGTTCGTGCTGATGATGTTGTTCAGCCGAAGAACAGCGATGAAAACTCCACAACCGAAATATCCAACTCAGCGAAAACGAAACTCCACCACAATCATCATCAACCTGGGCTAAACAATTTTCCTACACCATCTCTGAGAGATCGATTTTAAACAAACAAATCTTTATATTCAATATCAATATCATCTAACTCATCGTGTCATTGTAAACATTGTATCACTATAGTAACGTAGTAATTTTGTTTGTCATGATAAAAATCTTAGAGATCGATCATATGATCCAATGAATAAATTTGTATATTTTTAAACCAATCTAAAATTACAATCGAAATTAAATAATTTAATGGCTGATGCTGATTGGTTCAATGCCAAGGTTAGTTAGTTAGTTAGTTAGTTAATTATCCAATCAGATTATTCCGATCATGTAGTTAGGTTGTTAGTAGTTAGTATGAATTTTAAAAAAAAACCTTTGAATATCATCAGTGAACCGCCTTAAATTGTTGATTTTTAATTTGATTTATACCACGATAAATTTTTATCTGATGTCTTACATTTAGTTTGATACATTATATATATAATCAAACAGGATGTTACTATCATGATGAGTATTTGATAGGGGCGGTTACAATAAATTAAAATATTAATTTTAATAAAATAATCAAATTTAACTAGAATCTTCAGTTTCACCCGAGAATGTTTGACCTCTTGACCACTTGAGCCGGCAACCAACGATATTAATGTCTAAATTCAATCAATCCACGGTGTCACGTGACCTCGAACATTGTCTTCGGTAGTTATTGCCTACATTAGACATGGTCGAACTCCACTGGTCAAGGCTTCTCAATAGAACTCCTTGATGAAGCTAGTCATTAGTAAGCATATAGCAATTTTCATTAGACGGTTCATTATATCTTCGTGAGGTCGCACTGGATTGTTTGACGTTTGATATTAACCCATGGATATCGACTACACAGTCTAGGGGGTTAAGTGTTCACGCGCGAAGCTTAGGATCCGTGGTTTGACTTGCTAGTCCTATACTAGATGGAACTTGCCGTTCAATGCCCCCAGGTTTCTCATGCCGGTCTTATGGGGTTGGAAATTCATATAGCTGATTTTACAACTCAGTGATCTGTATACATCATGGTAATAGTCTAGTTTAGTTTATAATTCTCATCTTTCACTGTCTTCGTTAGGTAAGTGGCCAATATCCGACACAGCTGAACTCGATTGGATAAAGCTTCTTTTTATGAGAACTTTGGAAATTTCCTTTCGAAATCAATGAGTGGTGAGCACGTAATATTTATCAGTATGAAGGTTTTGGAAATTAAGTGAGCTTCATTGAAATCATGAACTGATCAATGGTAGACTACTGTTGAATGTCTGAAATGATTGAACGGTTAATTTGTCTTAGTGTAAAACGTCTCACTGGTCCACATCCATCACTCTTCAAAGGCGATTAATCAAACCAAAGACCTTCGGTTTCGCACGTGAACTCTTAACGAAGTCCAAGTGTCAGTGTTAACTTCATTCAGCCAATTCGATTGTATTCGGTGAGTAACTGCCCCACGTCCGTCAGGGTTGAACTCCACTAGTCACAGCTTTATCGATCTATGATTTGAATGAAACACAACAATCTCCACAATCTTCCTAATGACAAGCTTTGTGAGGGGAATTCTCAGAGTTCCAGTTAGAGGTCGTGACCAATGGAGTTCAACCCTGTCGGGTTTAAGCAGTTATCTACTAAAGACATTGAATCAGGTCACGCAATAAATTAGATTTATTAAAGTTACACAATAAAGCCTTTTGTGATGCCGGCTCAGTGGTCCAGAGGTTAAGTGTTGTCACAAGAGATTTAAGATCCTGGTTTCTTTTCTCACAAGCGGGCATCATGGATACGCATTGCCACACTGATGAATCCCAAGCTAGGACGAAACGGCCGTCCATACTAGTGTTTCTCTATTTGATTTAATCAATAAGTTATGTTTAAAACTGACATAGAAAGAGTATATTCACCTCTCAGAGTGTTAAAAAAAATACTTCAAACAATAATAAGTGCATAGTTAATATTTTAAAAAAGTACATTTTAATTTTTTTTAAGTTTAATCAAACAAGACGCAATCACCTAAATTAAAGAAGTTAGTAAAAATGTACTTCAAACTAAATTATGTATAAACTCTGCATATTCAAAATTAAATCTGTGGATTATTTCATTTCTGTCTCTTTCAATAAACATTATTCTTTACAGAATGTTAGCGAAAATTAAATGGTATCATTCTAACTGAAAATCTTGAAAAAGATTCAGTATATATATACATTGTTACGACTGCACGTAAACACGTCATTTGATACGTTTGAACTATTACAAGTTTACCTTAGTCAGTCAGCGAGAGGGAGGATCGAGGATCGGGCGACACAATAGGCTACTCTAATCTGAGTGTCCCAAAACCCATCCCATTGAGTGAAAGGAGAAGACTTGATATGAAGTAGAACCTGTATTCTACAATCATCCAGAAAATACGAGGTCCGATCCCAGAGGAGAATCAGAATCCCAGATCAAGGATCCGTGTCATAAAATGTTACAGACAATACGTATTTGTACATTTAGGTCTATTAGGAAACAACATCGAAGTCTTTGACATTGACAGTTAAGGCGACAAATAGGAAATGACCAATAGCATCAGACGTAGAAACCAATATCTTAGGATATTGGATGAATATCTTAATATATATATATATATATATATATATATATATATATATATATATATATATATATATATAGCTTTAAGGCATCACTCATTAAGTATACTTAGACAATCTTCAGTCGATGTCAGATGAAAGAAACAATGAAGTGGAGCAGAAATGGCTTGCAAATCTAGAACAAACCTAGGAAGTGAACAGAATGATGTTTCATTCGACAATGATTGATAAAGAACGTCTGAAATAAGACTGTATCCAGCAGTATCTAACAACCAAACTGACATAATGAAATAGAAATTTGAAGATGGCTACTGACAATCCTCAATTATAGTCAACTCGAGATTAACTACAGATAGGTAGGTGTGTGGATAGATAGATAGATAGATAGATATGTGGATAGATAGATAGATAGATAGATAGATAGATAGATAGATAGATAGATAGATAGATAGATAGATAGATAGATAGATAGATAGATAGATAGATAGATAGATAGATAGATAGATAGATAGATAGATAGATAGATAGATAGATAGATAGATAGATAGATAGATAGATGTGTGGATAGATAGATAGATGTGTGGATAGATAGATAGATGTGTGGATAGATAGATAGATAGATAGATGTGTGGATAGATAGATAGATAGATAGATAGATAGATAGATAGATAGATAGATAGATAGATGTGTGGATAGATAGATAGATAGATAGATAGACAAACAAGTCAATGAATATTTTAAGCAGCCAAAAGTTCATTTGTTTTTAGAATAAAAGTTTAAATTTGAACTAAAAAAAATCGATTCGCTCTTTTTAAAAATACACTTTACTCTTTTTTTTACAATAACATTACCTCCCTGTATGCAAACAGTTTTTTTATAAAAACAAATAGCCCTAAGATTATTTTTCAGAATCAGTGTGAACTGATTATGAGGACAGTGAAAATTATTGATCTTTTTTCTAGACGAAAGTTTTTTTCAATTTCTGTGCAAAAAAAAAACAGAATTTCGTGTGTATATAAATATTCAAGCCTCAATGAATTACCTAACAAAACATGAAGTGTAACGTTCAATCAAACAAATTTAATTAAAACACACACACACACTACAAATTGACTACATTGAACATAAATCAAAAAACTTTGTTTAAATAAAACAACATATCCAATTTAATTGAATTGAAGGAAAAATAAACACGCGAATATATATGATTGGCATTAGAATTTCATATTATCAATTAAAACAGAATTATCAATCAAAGAATGCTTTTTGAATTAAACAAAAGTTGGCTTACTCTATCTGAAAAATCTATGATGAATTATTAATTACTAATGCCGTTTTTTTTTCTAAACCATAGCCGCTGCCTACTTATAAGTAGTTTAAATAGTTATACGTCATTTTAATGGTCCTTGCTTGACTTACACAGTCAGCCTGAAGATCGATATAGTTATATTATACATAGATATATAGAGATAGAGAATGAGAGGAAATTAAAAATTCAAAACAATTTCATACTACTTACTTCTTCAAGCTCAGCTTTCAATGCTTTATTTTGTTCGGCAAATTTCTTGATCTGTTCCAATAGATCGTCTGTCAAAGAGCTTAACTAAATTTTTTTAGAAAAAAACAGATATTGAATAGAGAGAGAGAGTAATTATGACAATGTTTATTGGTGTAAAAAGTCTACTATTCATACAAAGAGAAACAAGTTGATGCCGTGCTGTTTAAGGCAGTAAGCATTCCAACTGATTTTATCGTCTTTGAGATCGTGGAGAAAATTTGTAGCTCCGGTTGTTTTGATGATTGTGGTGGAGCTTTTCGTTCTCTCTGAGCTGGATGTTTTAGTTGTGGAGCTTTCATCGCCGTTCTTCTGCTGAACAACACATGATCAACATGAACTTTAGAAAGGAATAAGTGAAGTATTCAAATTTCTCCATGTTTGACAGGTTGCTTTTTCTGTTGGTTTCTGTTGATCTTAAATATGTCGTTGTTTACACCTTCGTTTCGATTGTATTCAGAAGAACGGAGATGAAAGCTTCACAAACAAAACATCTCCAGCTCAGAGAACAAAACGCCACAGTGATTTTATCGTCTAAAGTTCATGGATTTCTTCCTAAAAATTTAACACTGAAATTTTTGATGTTTTACTAAAAAATAGTCAACTACAGGGTAGAAATTTTGTCCAATTACTGGACTGTTTAGCAGTGTTTATCTACGTACGACATTTCCCACAATCAAATAGAGAACCTTTTAGGCGCTATAAAGGAGTCGTACATTTTAATGTCGTGTTTCATCTAGTCCAATTTTCGTACATAACAGAATTCTGTCAATCAGAATTGTACTCTGACCACTTTGTTCATTATTCAGTGATTAGTCATTTATAAATATCTTTGTCATACAAAATATCAGTAATATCTCAAACTGAATAACTGTAGGTTTAATTAAATCCAGCAAAGGACAATAAGTCCTTTCGATATGACAGGTACATATTGATGACAAGTGTCAACTAGCATCAATCAAAACAAGGTGAAACATGATTTTCTGTCAGTTGTTTGCATCCTACTAACTAACAGATGAAATTTTTAACATGGACTAACATTCATCATTGCTGTGGTGAAGTTTCATTCTTGAAGCTGGAGATCTTTTGGTTGTGGAGCTTTCATCTCCGTTCTTCTGCTGAACAACATCATCCTCATATCCACAAAGTGAATTTCTCCATGTATGATTAGTAGCTGGTTTGGTTAACCTCGATCTTGATTAGATGTTGCTGACCTTAATAAACTTGTCGTTGTCTGCACCTTTATTTTGATTGTATCCATCATTTATCTGTTTCCTTATTCCTATGTTTGCTTATGATTTTTCTGATCGGTTAATAAATTGGATCACTGTCAGTGTTTTCTGTTCATTGCTGATTGACTTATGAGTGCCAAGCATGGCGCAGAACAAGCTACGGGTTATAGATGGAAAAATTCGAATACTTCACTCCGATATAAAGTTTGTGCTGATGATGTTGTTCATCAGCTGCTCCAGCTCAGCGAAACTGAAACTCCATCACGATCATCAACTACCTAAGCTACAAATTTCTTCCTCCATCTCATCATCATTGTTATACCTCTGATTCGAATGTTGAATGAACAACACTTCAAAATCATAAATAATACGAATAGTAAGCACATGAAGGTAAGAAAATATATTGATAACATTGACAATTTATTGACACTTGAATCAATCAAGTAAGTAAGTAAGTAAGTAAGTAAGTAAGTAAGTAAGTAAGTAAGTAAGTCAGTCAGTAAGTAAGTAAGTAAGTGGGTAAGTAAGTAAGTAAGTAAGTAAGTAAGTAAGTAAGTAAGTAAGTAAGTAGGTAAGTAAGTAAGTAAGTAAGTAAGTAAGTAAGTGCATAAGTAAGTAAGTAAGTAAGTAAGTGCATAAGTAAGTAAGTGCATAAGTGCATAAGTAAGTAAGTAAGTAAGTAAGTAAGTAAGTAAGTAAGTAAGTAAGTAGGTAAGTAAGTAAGTAAGTAAGTAAGTAAGTAAGTAAGTAAGTAAGTAAGTAGGTAAGTAAGTAAGTAAGTAAGTAAGTAAGTAAGTAAGTAAGTAAGTAGGTAAGTAAGTAAGTAAGTAAGTAAGTAAGTAAGTAAGTGCATAAGTAAGTAAGTGGGTAAGTAAGTAAGTAAGTAAGTAAGTAAGTAAGTAAGTAAGTAAGTAAGTAAGTAGGTAAGTAAGTAAGTAAGTGCATAAGTAAGTGCATAAGTAAGTAAGTGCATAAGTAAGTGCATAAGTAAGTAAGTGCATAAGTAAGTAAGTAAGTGCATAAGTAAGTAAGTAAGTAAGTAAGTAAGTGCATAAGTAAGTAAGTAAGTGGGTCAGTGAGTAAGTAAGTGGGTAATTATTATCAAATATACTACACACACAAACACACACACATGTGAACTTACTCGATGAAGACCTTCTTCGGTAGCATCTAAACGTTTATTAGTTTGCACAGATTGCCATAATTGGCTCACTATTCTATGTTCATCAGTTGTAGCAGTAGTAGGATCAAGTGAATGTTCAATTTTTTTCGATTTAATTTTATTTTCATCTGTATCATTCTGATTATCATGATCATTAGCAGTAGTATTAGTAGTAGTAGTAGGATCAGTTTTATTATTATTCAATAAACCAATAATTTCTAGATTATTTGGCAAAGAATTCAATAATTCCAATTGAGATTCAACATTTAATAATCTTTTCTATTTAAAAAGAAACAACAGAAAAACAGTAAAAAATAGAGAGGAGTAATTGTGAATAAGAAGAGTTTTTTTATGTGTACATAGGAGAATAGGACACATATTCAGAGAAATCGTTTGAGTTTTGGATGTACACGTACATGTGTGTATTCTACAGCTGTCCTGCATGCATTGTGAGATTTGAGAGCTCAGTACTGATGATTGTTTTAAATGCTGCAGCCTCTGCAGCAGTAGGTATCAACATACCATAAAGGGAAAAGCAAAATTCTCCGATGCAACACAACATGCATCAACCAAATCACTCTTAATGAAGAAGATGCCTTGGAGGACGTTAACACCTTTTTACATATCTGGGTAGCATCATCGACAATCAAGGTGAATCCGATGCAGGTATGAGGGCGCGGATCGGTAGAGCAAGGGCTGCATTTCTACAATTGAAAAATATCTGGAACTCCAAACAACTTTCAAACAAAACCAAAATCAGGATTTTCAACACAAATGTGAAGACAGTTCTACTGTATGGAGCGGAAACTTGGAGAACTACCAAAGCCATCATCCAGAAGTTACAAGTGTTTATTAACAGTTGTCTACGCAAAATACTTCGGATTCGTTGGCCAGACACCATCAGCAACAACGAACTGTGGGAGAGAACAAACCAGATTCCAGTGGAGGAGGAAATCAGGAAGAAGCGTTGGAGTTGGTGGATTGGACACACACTACGAAAAGCACCTAACTGCGTCACAAGAAGAACCCTCATATGGAACCCTCAAGGTCAGAGGAAAAGAGGAAGACCACACAGATTACGCCGAGAAATAGAGAAAGATATGAGAGGAATGAACAACGATTGGACAGAACTAGAAAGCAAGGCCTGAGATAGCGTAGGTTGGAGAATCTCGGTCAGCGGCCTATGCTCCATTGTGGGCAACATACGTAAGTAAGTAACTAAGTAAGTAAGTGACTAATTTCTTTCACCGAATATTTTCTTAAATAGAAAAAATTATTGACGCGATGAAAAATAACTTGACTGTGATTTTTTGGTTCCAGATTATTCTAGATTTTTCTTGAAAAAAATTCAAAATGTTTACTAATTACTCAAGTGATGATATATACTTTTTTTACTCAATGTAATATTGATTTGTTTACTGTGATGTTTATTCATAAAACACTGGCTGTACAAAGAATTATTACTACATTCAGTGAGCTGATTTTCATTCAATTAAAGTCGACGTCGTTGTCGTCACCGTGGTCATGCCTTTTTGTCATAGTCAATATAGATAGATCTTTGTACAACACATGTATATCAATCTGTCTATTGTGTTCTTGATTAGTAATTAATTCATGTCATGGGAATTATTACAGGCTTCCTTGTTTTTCAATTTTTAAACATTGGGGCTGACACACACACAGATAACAACAACAAGGCATTGGCGACCATCAAAATAGTTGTTTTAGTTAAACACCACTGACTGAATGATAAGTAAGTGATCAATAATCGGTCAGCAAAGCCTTCTATTCTACATCATCACATGTTAAATAATAAAGATGGTGTCTAGGTGGTTTGTTTTGTTTGTCAGTTTTTATTTCTACTGAGAAATTCAAATTTTAAATATGAATCTTAGATAATAATGATTGCAAACATTTTCATGCAACAATAATTGTGTCACGCGGACAGATTTGAAAATACCAAGTGTAAAAGCAAAGCAAAGCAAAATGAAGTGAAGTGAAGCGTAGAAGGCGAGTGCGCCAACTCATTGAGACAACAAGGCATAACTAAATATTTCTAGTCAGACAAAAATCAGCTAAAAACACGTGATGTGCGAAATATGCAATGCACATACGTACTCAAGTAAAAACAATCAAGGTTATGTGTGAGTAATTGAAAAGGTCAAAAGAGAGGTGTGGGTATTAATAGGGCAGAAAAGGTCGGTTACTTCGTCTGAAAGCTGGGACAAATCATGTGTATGTTCAACATGATTATTGCACACACTGTGGTGCGCGCTACTTATAAGTAGTATATGACGAGAGTGTAAACGTAATGTCTGGCAGCAGAAGATGGGAGAAGATCAAGAAAGTAAGAAGAGTGGGAACACAATGGAATGTGTTTATGAAACGCATGAATAGTGAAATGTCAGACAATGGATTGATAATGGATTGAAAATTTGCAAATTAACGGTTACGATATGGTTTTCCTATTTTACTGAGTAACTGTAATACAGTTCAGTTGCCCTCACACGTGTTCTCCTTCACTACAACACTACAATTTTATAGGATTAGAACCGAACAACTGATTTAGGGTATGCATCCTATTTTCAACTATCATGACTTACACATTGAAGTCAGTAATCACTCATAGTTAGATCACCATTCGACACCTGGAAGCACTGAAATACAGTTTCGTCCTGGTATGGGACTCATCAACAGTGCGCACCCATAACGCTTGCTATTCACAGGATTCGGACCCCTGGACCTTCAGTCTTGCAGGCGAACGCATGACTTCTGGATCGCTGAGTCGGCAGCATTCAACGGTTTTAATGTCTTACTCTGATCAATTTAGGGATTTTGTGTGACCTCATCGATTTGTCTTCGGTAGTTACTGTTTAAAACCTACAGGCTTGGACTCCGTTGGTCACGTCTTCTTATCAGAAAGAACTCCGGGAATTTCTTCACGAAGTTAGTCACTTGTGAGCACAATGTACGATTTTATATGATTTTATATGGTCATAACAATATTTATAAGTTTGAAAGTGCACAATGTTTGAACGAACACAATTTCAAATTACCACTGACGAGTTACAAATAACAATAATGTTAACGTTATCAGCAAAATTTTCTTGATATTCAATCTGTTTTTACTCAATTTTATGATTGTTAAAACCAGAGATAACTTTGTTTAATCTTCGATTCCCTAAGTATATATTTCAGCCGTAGCTCAGTGATAATGTCACAGATTATATGAAGCTTGAATGACAAAGATTCAAACACTGTGATGGATATCATTGTCACCAATGTTGTAAGTACCGCCTTATTGACAAATGTTAACTGACCACAAAAATTTAAGTGAAGTAGAGTCTCTTGTTGATAACTTTTTTAATCACCTCATATCTCATTCGTGTAGTAGAATGTCATGAACTTTAATTTCTACTGAAAGAACATGTATACCAAAGTAGTTGTGCAAATCAATCAGAGTTAGACATTAAAACTGTTGAATGCCGGCTCAATGGTCCAGAGGTTAGGCGTTCACGTACAAGATCGAAGGTCCCAGGTTGGAATCCTGCGAAATGCAGTTGTGAGTGCGCACTGCTGATGAGCCCCATACCAGGACGAAACGGCCGTCTAAACAGTGCTTCCAGGTTTCTAATGATGGTCTAAAAATGACTGATTGATGATTTCAAATATGTAAAGAACACTATTCTTCATAACTCTAATTGAAAACGACCCTCTTTCGCCTATTAAATGAAGAACCGTAGACTTCTATGAGTAAATGAGAGTAGGTAGTGAAATAAACTATTCATTTGAGAAATCATAATTATCCTCATCAAAAAATCATGTATTTTTACGATTTAGGGACACAGCGATTATAATATTGTGCCTTTCTTCATATCTCAGCCAACATAAACTAACATCATATTCAAGTTGTTTGTGTATTCAACCAATTCAAACTTGTATAATCCTATTGGTTACAAGAGTCGAATGATTCACACACAGTCTATAAATAACTTTGACCAAACGCGGATTGATATTATTCCCAATTAATTAGTTAATTTATTCTAACAACATGTTTGTTGCAGTCTGATTAAAAGTCACACAAAGCACAACAAAGATGATAATTATGTGTAACACATTATTGAAACCATGAATCGATCAATGTTAGACCACTATTGGAAACCTGGAAGCACTGGACGGCCGTTTCGTCCTGGTATGCGACTCCTCACCAGTGCGCATTCATGACTCCTGCACCCCGGAGATCCGAACCCAAGACCTTCGGTATTGTGCATGGACGCCCTAACCGTTAGACCACCGAGCCGGTATCCAATGGTGTTAATGTCTAACTTGATCAAATTCACGGAGTTGCGCAACCTCATACACAGTCTTCGGTAGACACTGCCTACACCCGAACAGGTTGAACTTCACTGATCACGTCTTCCCACTAAAACTCGGAGAAGATTCCTCACGAAGCTAGTCACTAGTGAGCACAGGTAATTTGCATCACGAGGTTGTGAAGATTGTTAAGTTACACATTTTTCGAAACCATAAACCGATCAGTGTTAGAACACTATTGGAAACCTGGAAGCACTGTTTAGACAGCCGTTTCGTCCTGGTATCGGACTCCTCAGCAGTGCGCATGTGTAATTTCATCTCGATTTCATTCACAAAGTCAGTACATACTTGTTAGTACATTGGAAATTTCTGATTGGAAACTGGTAAGTTTCGTTGAAATAATGAAGAGATCATTGTGAGACTACTAATACACAAACCTGGAAGCATTGGATGACCGTTTCATCCTAGTATAGGACTCATCAGAAGTACGCATCCACAACATATAAGCGGGGATAGAACGCGTATTAACACCGTTAGATGCTGGTTCAATGGTCTAGAGTTTAGGCTTTTGTGAGTGAGACCGAAGGTCCTGGGTTGGATTCTCGTTTATGGAGTTGTGGATGCATGCACACTTCTAACGAGCTCCACACTAGAACGAACAGGTCATCCGTTACTTTCAGGTTCCTAATGGTGATTGTCTAACATTGATCGATTCATGATTTCAACGATACATCATTGTTATTCAAAGCTTAATTCAATAAACATTGTTAAGTTTGATAACTAGAAATCTAAAAAAAGCACATTGAAAATATGATCCTTCGTTTGTTCTTAAAAAAAGTTTTATTGATAAATAGTGGTGGTTTAAAATCTTCACATTATCCACAACTAGTTTCACTTTCCAGATCCTCTGAAGGTTTGCCCCATTTCGGTTTATTACTGTGCTTATTATGAAAGGTCATTGGATT